CTCCTCCTCACTCCTCCTCCTCCTACACTCATCCTCCTCCTCCTCCTCCTCCTCCTCCTCCTCCTCTATCAACTACCTTCGCGCTTCGCTCGCGCCGCGACGCTGTGTTCGCGCCCTCGCGCCGCCGCCCTGGAGAAAGGCGCCTCTCCAGCCCAAGCCGCGGCGCGCGAAGCGCGGTTATCTTCGCGTTCCCACGGGTGCCTCATGACTTAGCTCCTCCGCCCACTATTAGACGAAGAATAACGGCAAACAAATATAAGCTGTCGGAACTCCGAAAGCTTGTGCGCTTGTGCCGTCTTCCCTACTTCGACGCCCCACCCGCCCCCGCCCCTGGCCAAGCACCCGCTGTCGACGCAGCTCAACACCCTGGCTCCTGACTCCACCGTGCCGGCCGGGACGGCCGGGAGGACCGTCCCCACGGTGACGGTCAGGGGACAGGGGACAGACCGCTGCACCGAAGCACCCACGGGGTCCGCAACCCCACGCGGGCTCCGTCCCAGGCCCCCAGGCGCGATGGCGAGCGAGACCACGCCGCAGGCCCCAGCAGCGGCGCTGGGTCTGGGAGATGGCCTTCCGGCCGCGGTGCTGTCTGCCCCTCTCCTGCTCCTCCTGCTGCTGCCTCTGCAGCTGCCGCGCACCACCTCAGATGCTGATGCCGCTGCTGCCACTGACACTGACACTACATCAGGAGCACAAGCACTGAACCTACCACTACCCTGCCACGCGAGCTCGTCTTGCCCAATCGACGGCACAGCAAAGAAGCACGGGCATTATTATCAAGTCCACTACGCCACGAGGACAACAACGACGACGGTTGCGATTGCATCTATGACCGCCGCCTGTTCCCCGCTATGGATATTACGGTATTGATCAAACAACAAGATGATTAAGGTATGTTTCAAAGAACATTTCTCCTCCTCCTGATCGCCTTCTTTCTCCTGATCCCCTACCCTCCATATCTCCCTCGCTTTCCTCCTCCTCCTCCTCCTCCTCCTCCTCCTCCTCCTCCTCCTCCTCCTCCTTGTCATACCTCCCTCCTCCTCCTCCTCCTCCTCCTCCTCCTCCTCCTCCTCCTCCTCCTCCTCCTCCTCTTCCTCCTTTACTCCTCCTCCCTCTCCTCCTCCTCCTCCTCCTCCTCCTCCTCCTCCTCCTCCTAGGCGTTGTGGTCCGAGGCGTCCTTTCCTTTCGGGACAGCCCGACGGCCACGACCCCAGCCTCCCGCCCCCCCCTGGGGCGCGAGGCGGACCTCTCGGGCACGCGGCGCCAGCGATCGCCGTCGCCCGCGGCGGGGCGCCCTCGCGAGCGCGAGCGCTCGCCCGCCTGGCACCGCAGGGCGCGGCGCCAGCGCTCTGCCGCCCGTGCTCGGCTTCGGCGGCATCACGACCGCCTGCTGCTGCAGGCGCACCACGGCAGCCAGCCGCCCATGCATGGGCCCCGCGGCGGAGGCCCCCCTGCGGGCCCAGCGCGCGGCCAGCGGCCGCAGGGCGCGGCGCGCGGCGGCGACGGCCCAGCAGCCTCGGGCGGCGGCACCCCTTGCTGCAAGTGCGGCTGCCGCAAGAACGAGGCGTGGTGGCGCTACTGCAAGCACTGCAAGGGCGAACTGGTGCCGACGCTGGCCCCTCCTCGGCGCCCTCGCTCTGCTGAGCGGCGTGTGGTGCAGCGGGCGCCTTGGCACGACGAGGACGGCCTGCGACCTGGGACAGGCGGCCGAGCCGATACGCCAAGGGGACGG